CACACACACACACACACACACACACTCTCCCTCCCTCTAATGCACAAACACCAGCTTTGCAGGCGCCCCATTCGTCAGGGCCTGCCTCATTCTGCCTCCCCTCTGCCTGCAGATTGGAGGACGGAGGAGGAGAGGGAGGGCCGAGGCAGAGGAGAGTTGCGAGGCAAAACGGCTGGTCACATGAGCAGAGATTCTGTTTACAAACCCAAGTCAGAGGAGAGGAAGGAGAGCTGCAGTCTGAGCTTCCATTATGAAGGGAAAAGCTCTGCCATGACCCAGCCAGCTGGAGGTGCAGGAGCCTGAACACACACTGCCTTTCCTTTGTCTCTGATTCTTCTTTTCTTCTTCTTCTCCAGTCCAAGCAGCAGATGGTTAGAGGGAGAGTAGGATCCCCCTCCTTCCCTCTACACACACACACACACACACACATCTTCTGCCTGACACACAAACAGCCTGAGGACTGTTGTTGACTGCATGGAGCTGCTCTCACTTTGTTTGGGCTTTGAGGGAAGATCATCTTCATCACCGAGGAGGAATATCTACTGCAAGATCAGAGGAGTGGAGGAGGAGGAGGAGGAGGAGGAGGCACCAGAGGAGACAAGAGGGGGGTGAGATTTGTGAAAATCCCTTGTTAAAAAAGCAGCTTCAGCAGGAAGACAAAAGCACAGATTAATGTTGGATTATTGCCTTCATTTGGGGTGAGGATTGTCACTGTAGACGCCGGATGTCATTGGATCGAGAGGAGGACATTGCAAAGTGAAGTGAAGGAGGCCCCCACTTTCTTCTCTGATGGAAATGTGAGTATTTCCTGTCTGTCTTGTTTATGAACGCGCGAGCTGCAGATTTTCACCAAAACAAGTCCTCACTCGCTGGATGAGGCCTCTGCAAAACAACTCGCACTCCTTCTCAACAACATTTCTTTGTTTCTTCTCGTCTCGACATCATTTTAGAAGCACATGAGATCTCCATTCCAGGACCAGAACCCAGAAACAAACCTCACACCTCCACACATCTTTAACACACAGAGTGGCTAATCCAGATTTGGGAATGCTGGGCAACACAAACTGCTGAGCCAACTAAAAAGAAGAAAAAAAAGGCCCACACCTCCTGAGGATTCCTGGAATCTGAAAACCTTAGATGACTGTTTTGCTGCTGGAGCTCTGACACAAACTGAGGGAAGGAGCGATCCAGCTCAGGACAGCTGAATCCAGGCTACACCAGGACCAGATTCAGCCCCAGCAGGGCTGGCTTGTCTCCAGCCTCTTTCCTGACAGGGTCTGAATTCACTGCTGCTGCCTTCAGGAGTCACATTTCATGCAACCATTCCAATGGTGTAACGGTGAGTGCATTTTGTTGCAAATACACGAGAGGTGGAGGTCGCTCGCATGAACCTGGCTAGTTAGATTTGCACAAATTAAAAGTGGACGGTTTGTTTTTAAGCGTGATCAAAATGGAGTTTGTGTAACAGTTTGGACAACGGCAAGAGTTGTAATATTTGTTTTGTGTGCTTGCATACAGAAACCTGATGTGTGTTTTCCAGTGCTACTTCCCCTACACCTTTGTAAATACTCCACCCCACCAGCAAATGAYCCAACCTTTGCCCCCTCCTGTCTCCAGGCTGTCTATTCACTCACTATATTCACTCACTACAAGGAGACACATGGACGCTSGAGGCTGCAAAGAGCATCCTTATGGCAAATTAATAGGAACACATGTGACCTCTGTGGAAGTGGGACTTCCTCTTCTCTTGTTTTACCAAATGCTCCTTTCCCTCCCAGAGTTCAGTCTGTTTAGTTCACCCCACCCCTCCCCCTAGCAACAAACTCATGCACTTCCATTATGGTAGCCAGAGACCACACAGCTTACACACACACACACACACACACACACACACACACACACACACACACACACACACACACACACACACACACTGCAAGTCACCTCTGCAGAGTCCGTGGAACAGATGGTGGCGTGATAGAAGTGATGTCCGTCCTTCATGTTTGTCTTGTTCACAGGCAATTAACGCAGAGTCCTGGGAGGGCCTCAGTTGCCACCTCAGCGCCTGCTGCAGCTCCCTGGACTCACCTGCAGTTATTACGTTTATGTCATCACAGAACAAACCTCACAAAAAAAAAAACGCACTGTAAAAATCATACAGCATTTGCTTTAGGTGTCACTAAACAAACACTTCCTGTTTACTGCGTATTCAATAACAGCCCCTTTTATAACACTATAAACAATGCTGTTTAAACTGAACAAATTGCTCATCGCCTGTATGTTAGCCAGATTCAAGTGTTTAAGAACAACCTTTGGTTCTGGGATTCTCAAAGTCGAACAGCCGGGTACTTTGTCACGTGAACCGTGTTGTAAATGGAGGCTGACATATTGGTTTGGGGGAAAATAGGATGAGTTCCTCTATGTGGAAAATAGGAAAAATGGTGAAAAGTTGCTATAGGACTGCACTTCTCACTTAAAAAAAAAACACCCAGAGATAAAATATATATATTTTTTTCTAACTGCAAGAGTAAGGGGTGGGGAGAAAAAAGACACGTGTTGTCGTTCTGCCTCTGCAGACCTCTGTGCTCCTCCTTGTTTAAAAAGAATTGCCTCATTGTTTTGATTCAAAACACACTAAAACAGGCTAAAATGAAGAGTAAACACTCAAAACTACACACTGAATATAAAATCCAAACATGTTAAAAGTCACAGATCTAATTAATAAAGTCCTGCTCTCACCGGCTCTTCATTGCCGCCAATCTCCATTCAAATTTCGCCTCTTTTTATTTTCTTCGTCCTGTAAATTTTTTTCTGCTTGTCAGATAACTTTGAGCCTCGGTGAAAAAGGAGGTCTGGGGGGTTATATTTTTCTCGGTCTAAGAGAAAGATGAGACTRACGATGGACAGCTGTGTTTTTTCCATGAGATTACTGTTTSCTGCTCCCTTCAGCTGCAGTTTTCCCCCATAAAAAAATGGAGGTTGAAATCACGTGACTGAATGACATCACGCCGACTTCGAGAATAGTCTGGTCGTTTTGAAGTGATGATCTGTCAAATAGTTATCAGTGGTTTGCACCTTATCAGGCATGGAGTTTGGAGAAAAGGGCAAAATTCTAAGGGCGACACTAGACCTTAGATGCTGACGGGGCTGCGGCTGCTGAACGTATCAGTTCGCCCTAATCTGTACGTCAAAAACTTTACTCAACTCCTGGCGGGCTGAAGCCTGAAAGCCTGAAAAACAATATAAAGCATTAGCCTAGCTTAGAAGACTTTTGCCACTTCCCTCCATACTCTGTGGTTCTGTTTGATGGAACATCACAAAAAATGACCAAATTATCTCATTAATTTAGGCTCATAAGCAGCACAGCTACCTATTAAGGCTAAATATCAGTTTTCTAATATGGGAAATTTTACAGTGCTGGGTTTGTTGCTGCAAAAACAACAACAACAAACCCAGCACACTCACGAGTTCACGTGAGTGTGTCAAAGCTTTCCCCCTATAAGGTATAATGCTTGTTTCTGCACATTCTCCCCGACAGGATGTCTTTGTGGTTTGGGTTTTCAACGCTCTGAACACTACTGCAGCATGACGTCTGACATCTACCACCTCCCACTCAATGTGTATGTCATTGTGCTGGGCATCGGCCTCTTCGTCTTCATGCTCAGCCTCATCTTCTGCTGCTACCTTTTCAGGTAGGTGGAGCAGGAATGTGAACATGGTTAATCCTTTGAATGTTTCGGCACTTTGACTAAGTGTTGCAACAGAACGTGTCGGTGCAAAGTAACATGGATTTAGACTTGATGATGAGAGCAGCACTCGGTCTTTAGAGGAGGCCACAGCTGCCAAACAGGGAGCTTATTCTTTTTTATCACAACACATTAAATGGCTTGATTTTATGTGAAAAGATTGCAGGTAGACTAATAATTGTCACCAGTTGGTTTGGCTTCCTCTGTGCTGTATTCGCACCTTTCGCCTCATTGTTTTGATTTGCAGCCRCGTCTTTGCTGCCTTTGTTCGCTCGCGCCGCTCTCATTGGTGTTGCTTTCAGCTGCAGCAGGCAGCTGTCGGCTGTGAAACCCACTAAAACCTCCCAGTCTGACACAAAAACAAGTCAGTGAACAAAAAGCAAGTTTCCTTTAAGAAAAGACAAAACAACATTTAATTCTGGCTTGATGTCTGTGCGAATGCTAACGCTGCAAATGTTTAAAAGCGTGCTTTAATTACAGATTAATGCTGTGATTTTTGTCATCATTGCGCAGAAGTTATTAAACATCACGGATGTTATCTTGTTTTAGAGGTTCAGTGGTTTAGGAGCTAATGTGTTGGGGACACTTCTTGAGTTGTGAACTGCTTGGCAGAAAGAAACACTCTTGAGATTCGATCAGCCTCTGGAAGGTCAAGTCCTGATGAGGTTGTATTTATGTAATGTTTGAAATACGAGGTCCATWATTGATGATGTATCCTCGTAAGCCGATTCTAATATAATTAGACCCAACCTCTTCCTAACCTTCTGACGTTATCTTGGCTTCCTGAGACAGATTTATCCAACCACTAACTCTGGTGGAAGCTCAAAGCGAGCAGCTTCAGTCATCACTAAATATGGACATTTGCTTTTTCTTGAGCTCAGATGCAGTTACTTACCTCCCTAATCCTCATACTTWCAATTAGCCTCCATCCAATGTAAAATCTGGATGTTTATACAGCTGTGGTAGCTTGGCGGTCCGTGCTTTAATCCCGAGGCTGTAGGTTCGAGCTCAAGAAGCAAACACCAAATCTTTCAGCAGTTGTCTTGCTGTGATGACTCCTAAAAAAGGGAGCATCTGAAAGAAAAACATATGTATACAAAAACTTCCTCCCATAGATCCTAACCAGGTACTAAAACCCTGAAATTACACATTTTAAAGTGATAGTTCAGATCTTTTGAAGTGTAGTTCTGTGGACAGGTTTTGCACAGATAACATATCTGTTTTAGAGCTCAGTTTGATCAGCTAAAATAGTTTGAGAGAGGCCAGGCTTTAGAGATTGGAGATGTTTTAGGATGATGACAACTCACTTTAACTCAGTTCAGATTAGCCATTAGCTAGTTAAAACTGGGCCAAGATAGGATGTAGGTCAGAGGTGTCTTTAACTTTRAAGTTTCATGTTTAATCTCAGCTAAACACAAAATGTCCCATTCTTCCTCTTATAGCTACGTCTGAGCACTGCTAACAATAACTGAGCTCTGCTTGGTATTTCCTGCATAGAAACAGCATTTTAACATGTCCTTTTATAAACACTGATAAGTACTACGCATACATGTCAACCCCTTCGGATGTTTACCTATATAACAAGCCTCAAAAATCCATAATTTTTGCAAACTATCCRTATTAATCGCACGCGTGTGAGCGGGCAGGGTGCAGGCTCTGTCAGCTGCAGAGATGACAACAACCTGCAGTGCAAAGCAGGAGGAAATGAGGACGGGAGAACTTATAGAGTGGGTTGATGGTTATTTGATGTTATTTATTGTTTTTTTTAATGTCCTACAGGTTCTGACATGTTAAATAAATTTGGAACTGAGTTAAAAAAAATTGTTTAACTTGAAAAAAAAATCGTGACATTGCTCTTTACGTCTGTATACCTGCAAAATGAGGGAAAATCTGTCCATAATCTACAGCTAATCCGTAAAACTTGGCATGTAGACTTCGTGTACGACTGACTAAATGTGTAATAAATACTACAGAAATATTCAAGAGAAAAATAAGAGAGTTTTACTCACTGTTGAGATGTGGTAAATAGTTGTCTTCTTGAATTCTGAACTCTCCCACTTTCCTTCAGGGAATTCCCATGCATAATCTACATGCATTRTGGGAGRTGTAGTTTATGGTCAATGCTGGCTTTAAAGCATCTTATTTTGAAACATTATTACAGAGATATTCAACTAAATTGCTCAAAGGGCCACAGTTGCTTAATCTTTCACTTTTTAAGTTTATTTGTTTTGTTGCATTGGACCATAAATTTAAAGTTTTACCATTGATGTGAAAGCTATTTTCATATTAAATGAAGTAAAATTAATAAATAAAATTTGGAGGTTGGAACAGGACTCCTTTGGCGAGCCAGAATTTGACACATATGGCTTACATTATGTTTTATTTGTACTCAGAAGTTGGAAAAATGAAATCAGAATTCTGACTCGGAAAGTTGGAGGTTCCTGATCAGCTTTAACGTCCAAACTTGTACAGGAAAAGTTGTGATGGCTGCAATAATAACAAAACAAAAGCTTTGATCAGTTTGCATCTTCAGTAAATTTAGTTGCTGAAGAAGGGAGTAATCAAAACAACAACATATGACTCAAGCTTTCATGTGATTTTCAGCAGATTCAGCAGAGTGCTTTGTTTATATAGAGTGCGTACCTGCTTTTCATATCAATATATCTGAAAACCCACTGGGGTAAACTCTTTCACCATGTTTAAGTTTGATTTCATCCATCACACAAGTACCTTTAAACCCAATAAGTCACTTGACTAAACATGAAAGTATGAGTGAGAAATGATCAGCGGCCAACTGTGACTAAAGGTCGAGGAACACCCACTCATGTTCTGCAGGAACCTGCCAAACTGAGACTCAGCGACCTGTGCTCGTTCTCATACAGCTGTGTGTGTGTGTGTTTGGTGCAGACTGCAGCATTTCTCTCTGTGTCCCCCCCGTCAGGTTGAAACAACAAGGAACGAGGGAGCAGTTCAGCTACAACGAGGTGAGTCGCTGCAGTGACTGTCTCACCAGGTCAATATGTAACACAAGCCTCTGAGGGATGTTCTAAATACTGGCAGCTCTATAGCATCAGCTGGGGAAACTTAACACCACTCTTTATAGATGACCTTGAATCCATCTACGTGTTATCTACAAATCCAGCTGCGGCTTGATGCGATGCGTCGTCGTACTGAACTCATCCCAAGCTTTTCTGCTCTGGAGTCTGACAGGAATTATCTCACAATAACCAACACCTTTTATCTACATGTCACCCCCCCATTCAGGTGGTGCTGAAAGGAGCGAGCAAGAAACTGAGCCTTCTTGGAGTAAGTCCCTGTTTTGTTTTGTTTTTTTGCAAAATCTTGTCAGACAGCAGCAGTTTTAACTTCTTGAACATGACTCAGTGTTTCCACATTAGCTCAGATGATGCACAACGAGGCAGGAGAATTTGTTCCCTTGGTTAACTCAATCAGGATGTCATTAGTGCTGCATATGCCAGGGTGGAGATGATGTGCAAATTGAAAAAAAAATAATAATCTAGACTTGGATGTATGCAGGACTTCACCAATTATTACAGTAATTCCTTTCGTGGCTATTATGTTCTGTCTTTCTTGTGTTGATCAGTTTATCTCTGACATTAGTTCAGATCCTGATGTGGTTTCAGCTGTGCCACCTCTCCGTCAGCTCCCTAATGGTTTTCTGAGTCAGCCCGGCCCGCTCACCTGTTCCCAGTCTGTAATCAGTCCAGGTGATGCCAGCACCTCATCAGCCTAGCTCTAYATATTCGACTGCCCCCTCAGTACAGTAGTACAATTATAGCCTCTAGTTCAGGGGTGTCAAACTCATTTTCACTGAGGGCCACATGAGCGTTATGGTGGCCCTCGAAGGGCCACTTGTAATGAACTTTGACGTTTCATGTTTAACTTTGACTAAACAGTGTTTTAACACGTCCTCTTTTAAACACTGAAAAGAACTAAGTGTATGACTGACTAAATCTGAAATAAATACAGAAATATTATTAAAAGTAAAACTAATAAAGTTTTACTCTTCACTGATGAGTTTCTAGTGAGTAGCTGCATTATGGCAGATTTAGTTTATGTTTGATGGTGACTTTTTAAAGCAGCTTATTTTCAGACATTAGTACTGTGCTATCCAACTAAACTGCTCAGTTACTTAAAGCCAACAGTTCAGGGACAGGAATTTATTAAATGTATTTTTATTTCATTTATTTTTATAAAATTTATTTTGTTGCATTCAACCATAAACTTAAAGTTTACCATTGATATAAGAAACAAATTTCATGTTACTGTAAGTAAAAAAACAAATAAACAAAAAAATAACTGGGGGGTGCCCCCCCTGGCGTGCCACACAGGAGTCATCCGCAGGCCACATTTGGCCCTCGGGCCTTGTATTTGACACATGTGCTCTAGTTAATGTGAGTTTGACTTGCAACAAAAGCATTTCTTTTGTTTTTATATAAATAATGTAAGTGTATTTTTCACCTCGTCTAGTCGAATCTTAAAAGTTCTGAATATTATGAGCACTTTCATGCGATACAATGAAACGTTAAGTTTTGTTATGAATGACTAACCCCTAACCCCCAACCCTAACCCTATCAACCCAAGTTTTAGTCCATAACCTGTAAAACTAATAATCATTTCTGTGTTTGCGCAATCCGATTAGCTGCAGTGGCCATCTTGAATTGAGTTGACTCCAACTGTTCATGAGTTTTAAATTACATTCTGAGAGTTTCCCCAAAGATGTGACACAAGGTGTAGAGCTCAGAGTACATGTGGCGAAYGACTCCCAACTACTACCACAGCAAATTTTAGCTCAACATCTGTAAAACTSACCRCGTTACAGTCATTTTAGGGTTTTTAGTGGTGGATTCCACGCATTTTCATTCATATATGTACATTTAATAAACACAGAACTGATTCGATTTTTGTTGTTGAATGACTACAAAAGTATAGATAGATAGATAGATAGATAGATAGATAGATAGATAGATAGATAGATAGATAGATAGATAGATAGATANGATACATAGATAGATAGATAGATAGATAGATAGATAGATAGATAGATAGATAGATAGATAGATAGATAGATAGATAGATAGATAGATAGAGAGTACAAATGCTTGAACCTTCTAACGTCGGGGTGAAGATGAATAAACTAATGTTTGTTTTTTGTTCTGTGTTCATGCAGCAAACCTGCGCAGTGTGTCTGGAAGAGTTCAGGACCCGGGATGAGCTGGGAGTGTGTCCGTGCTCACATGCATTTCACAAGAAGTAAGTGCTGCTAAACATGGAAAAGTTCTGGCATACTGCTTGTTGTGTTGCATGACAACATTTTAAAMTGGTACTGCTGAAAGTACGTGTTGGGGACGAGTCTCAGCTACTACTACGTCAGGGATGTGGATAAATCTTTAATCCTACACCAATATTAAATCTGACAACGGATTCCAAAAGAACATTTCAAACCATACAAAATAACACCAAAATCGTGATTATTTGAAGTATGAGGGAAGTTATTGATGTTTGTTTAGGTGAAATCAGCTCGTTTTCTTGCTGCAGTTCACAGCAGAACCTATGGGGCCTTTGTGACCATTTCACCTTGCTGTTTTCTAATTTTGCTCATAACTTACTTAGTGTTTAAGATATTATTATGAAATTTTAGGAAATGATTCACTTTCTGGTTTTTGTAGGAAGCATCTTGTATCCTAAAAACTAATAAAACTTAATAATAGCCAATGCAAATGTAGCAGAAAGTGTTTAAAATAATGTCTTAAAGTAAGGAAATGAAAACAATTTAAAAACCATGTGGACATCTGTTTTGTAAACAAAGCTCCTCAATCAATGACAGCGTGTTAAATGTGTCAGGTGACGAAGACGAGCGTCAACACATTTTGCAACAAGCGCTRTTCCGGATTGAAAAAWWCATYGACATTTCAAATCATTATCAAATTTGAAACAAGGGCAGATAAAATAATGTTCTTCATGGCAGCTTATCTCTTTAAGGGSTCACTAGAAAAACTCGGGTGATTTACTTTGATCCTCTTTTCAAAACGCATCAACAAAAATTAAAAGCTCGAAGACGAGGCTGTAGCTAACTACCTGTCGTCAGCGTGCTTTGTTGAAACTCGTAGAAATAACGAAGCAGGAGGAAATTACAAGCAAACGCACCGAGMARCCTTGTACAGTCTGGTCACAGCAGTTTGGGAAGAAAATGGCAGCAGCTGTTGACGAACTGTCAACATCCCTACTTACAGCTCAGTATCTGATCTCTAACCAGCTTTGTGTTTTCTAAGGTCGATTAGCCGTGGCTGTAATTTGAATGAAAACCAGCTACAAGTGTTATTTTTTAGATAAGAAAAATGAAAACAATTGGAGATATTTTAAGTAGCTATTTATTAGTTCTGCACACATTCTTTAGAAAGTTCACTTACATTGTTGCACCTTTTGTATTAAATGCTTCTTTCCTCTCAGAAGCCACGCTCTGGTTGATTTGTCAAAAAGACGACTTATCTTTGAGTGCCTTTAACTAGTTAAATAGTATGTCTCTTMCAAAACACCTCTCTCTCCCTCTGAACACTTGATTGAAAATGTCAAAAGGTCGAGGAGAGATAAGACAAAGATGAGACCTAATTACCTAATTTCCCTCTGGGATCAATAAAGTATTTTTGAATTGAATTGAATTAAAGACAGAAGTCTGAGCAGCTGCGTTGTAAAGAGAATATCAACTGCTTCCAAAATGTGAGCAATAACAAAGGAAATGGAATAAGGAAGTCAAAATTATAACATATATTGCTGCTATACTGACAAATGATGCTCGTTATTTACAAAAATCCATGAATGAGGAAAAAAAAAATTGAGCACCACTTTCAGTTTTGCAACARCCAGGAACGGGACAGTGTTATCTCTTTCAGTTAGGTAAAGAATGGTGCAATGTGTTCAGTGATGCAGAAGACAGAATAAACATGCAGGCTCTTTGATTAGCATTTAGCTCTGTGATTAACAGGAGCAGCTGTTATCTTGGTTTTAACTCAGCAGGGATCTGTGGACCCTTCACAGGGCGTCTCAGTCGGTTAAAGTCCAACTGAAGCCCCAAGCCACGTTACCTGTGTTAGTCTGACTTTGAGAGATTCTGCTTAATTCATACATTTGAAACCTTGTTCCTAAGTTTATTATTGTGTACCTGTATGTTTCTGTGAGCTTGTCCAGAGTTTGAGCAGAATTCTAACTGAGGTTAAGGTTTGGTTTAGATGTCATTGGTTTAGATGTCAGGGTTGGGTAGCAGAGGTTACAGTGAAGGGGCAGGGCTTGGGATTCAATAAACACGAGTCTATTCTTAAACTTCAGAGGGTACAGATAATAATACTTTAGTATATTAAATCATCAGCGGGGAGGGAAAGACTCATGGCAGACTGCTTCTTTTCCTACCAAAGTATGGGTGTGACTAACCTCAAGTACAAATTAACCCAGAGCCTATGACCTACAAAATAACTAACAGACCTAAAACCCAACCACTAATTATAGCACACAAAAATTAATGACAAGAATGTGTCTGTGGCTAAAAAAAAATAAAAAAATAAAAAAAACATCTTAGCAAATCATTTTTAAAATTCAGTTTAATATTTGAAGACTTGGACGACCAACTCTGGCGTCTCGACCCTCAGTTTGATTCAAAGTCTGAACAAAGGGGAGCGTCTGGAAGCTGATTATTTTACAGCTTGTTCAAAGCAGAAGGTGGTTAAACTATATAACTACATAAAAATAAGGTGCTGCAGTCACCTGAGCTGTTCACTGTGGACTTGTGACCCGTTACAATCATTTAAAAGCTTTAAAACATTAAGAAATCCCAAATATCTCTGAGCGCCATCAGGGCATGGCAGTATAGGCTAATAAGGACTCCATCTAAGTGGGCGCCACAAATGAAGGACCAAAACTGTTTTTATTTTGTTTTATGGGAGTAATAAATAGTAGTAATAATCACTGATTRGTCAGGTTTTTGAAGGTAACATGTTCTGCTTTGTTCCTACATGAGGTGTCAAGACTAACTGGTCGTGTAAATAAAAAATAAAATAATGATAATAGAAGTTTTGGTTATGATCTCAGATAAAATTTATAAAATACTGATTTTATGTTTTATTAATCCAAAGAATTTAATAAAATGCTTTTCAAACAGCTGGAAAATGCGTATTTTTAAGTAGATCTTTTACAAAATTTCCTGGAAGCATACACCTGGACCCCCCCTAGAACTGCTTCACTCCACAGCTGTGGAGTGAAACAGTTCTAGGGGGGGTCCAGGTGTATATGCTGTCAGCAGATGTTGGCAGGTATGAGGTAGACGTCTGGTATTCTGTTTCAAATAAATTATATTAACTATGTTAATTGGACAACTTAAAATAATAAAGACAAAACTATTTAATTTGGTACATGAATGTTTTTGTAAATGGGCAGTGAGATTTAGAAAATCGCACGAGGGGCACCGCCTGAAATCTTGCCTGAGKCTGGCCCTGAGCGCCATTAAAGATGGGTGGTCATGCTGTCATACCTGTCAGGTAAATTTCTCACCAACTACTGGAAAGTTACTAAAGAAAGTTTCAAAGTAATCCTTGGATWCATATTTACACCTGATTCAAGATGGCCACCACAGCTGATCACTTATTGATAATTTAAGTCAGATGTCCAAAGTGTGGCCCGGGGGCCATTTGTGGCCCCTGAACTGATTTTATGTGGCTCCTGACTTCAGTTCAAGAATTATACTGCGGTAATTTGTTTACAAATTTGTCCCCCCGGCACAGGTGTTTGATGTACATGGAGGCATTCTATTCATTATTAGGGCAAATTTATCACAAAGTAAAATCTTACTATTAAAAATATTGGCAACAAAACAAATTGTTTGTCTTTAAATAACTAGACTCTTACCTTTTTCCACATTTATCTAGTGACTTCCACTCAAAAGCTGATTTTGCTGCACTCCAATCTGCTTTAAATTAGAGAATAAATTTGTCTGTATACAGCAAGCATTTTCAACAAGAGTGATCAAAATCCTGATTTTATTGATCAAGATTGACTAAATTGGGTTATTTTTTCCCCCTAATTGAAACCTAGAAAATTGCAAAATATCTTTCAATAAGGGAATCCTGCAAAACACTTGTAAAGTTCTGGATCTAGATTAATTTACACATCAATTTCCAGCAATAAATCTGACTACTTTATTTGTTTAAKTAAAGTATTCAATGCTTAGTTTATTGTTGAGCAGGTAAAGGAATAATATTTTTGGCCCTTAAGCCCTTCTGACTTTATGATTTTGACCCACGTGACTAAATGTTTGGACACCCCTGATTTAAGTCAACTCTAGACATGGAGCTAAACCATGGAGTGGAAGTAGCTGAGGGTAATCCCCAACACCTCCATTGAATTGGGTTGTCTCCAAATTTTAAATCCATTATAATGTTCCAGTTACACTTCAATAATTAAAGCAAAGATGCTCTATATGTCGCCTTCAGAGTGTTGTGAATGACTCATCTACTCTCACACCAAGTTCAATCGACATTCCAGCTGTCAGTAAAGCACCAGTAAACACTTTGCTCGTGTTTCGTCCCTTCAGGTGCCTGCTCAAGTGGCTGGAGATCCGCAGCGTGTGCCCCATGTGTAACAAACCCATCCTGCGTCTCCACTCCGACGCCCCCCAGGGTGCCGAGGGGCCCATGGATCCAGAAGAGGTGTGAGAGAGCGCCAACTAGACTCCCCCCTTCCAGAAAAAAAACACACACATTAAAACACACTAAAGATGACTGACAGCAGTCATCTGGAAAGGTAATACTGATAACCATCCCAAAGTGGCAGTGACCTTCGAGCAATATGCCTCCGTGGGGAATTGGATTTTGATAGTGCCAACGTGTTCGGTCTGATCAGGCAGAGAGATAAACGAGTAGAAWGATTTTCATACAGATGTGTAGTTCTACTTCCATGTTGCACTGTTCACCTAAAAAAAAAAAGGGCCAGGAAAGGGAGCCACATTAGAGCTGGACATCATCGCCACCGTCACTGGATGAGTAGAGCCGCACTGCCAGAGGCATTGAGCAGGACATTACAGGATCAGTGAGGATACCTCTAATAACTCAGGGGTGTTACCAACGCAGCCAGCACAAACCATGTTATTAACCCTATAACCCAGTGCCACACACGCATCTTCAATACTGCCAACGTAGACGAAACACCCTGGCAGCCAGAGGTTAGCCACAGCATCTGGCTGAAAACAAAAACCAGCTAGAATCAACCGTGACGATTTAAGTAGAAAATGTTGTTACAGATTGTGTCCACGACCCTTTTCCCTTAAAAAAAAAGACTAATAGAAAACTAGTCTTGCTTGTATGTTTTGTGTGTATAGGTCTCCCTATATGATGTTATTTTGTATTTCAAATAAAGTGTCATGTAATGTATTGTAGTGGTGTCGCATTCTTTGAAAAATCAACCAAAATGTCCAGGATAGTTATTTAATATACAAAATAGTTAAAATGCAAGTTGATGAAATGATAAAACAGCTTGTTTTTTAACATTAAGGACACATTTTACAGAGATCTATTGCGCCACATCTATAAAAAAAAAACCCAATGTAAATACAAGCTGAGCTGTTGGTCATTTTATGGACAAGCTTTTATGAGCAGATCGAGTCCAGAAGCTCTTTAACTTTCAGCCTCTTTGCCTTTATTTTCCACAAACTCCAGAGCCTTTTCTTTAACCGCCTGGACGCTCTGAGGGGTGCCGTGTTTCTTCTCGTACTCCAGGTAGCGCTTGAAGAAAAACTTTATCTTCTTCACGGAGACGCTGAGGTTGATCACTCGATCGAACAGAGCCCTGAAAACACGAGGTCTACGGTGAAGCAAACGAACTGATAAAACGTCAGCAGAGGAGGGAAGAGCTTTTTCTTTACCTGACTTCCGTCTGCGATCCGTGTTTGACCATGAGGTCGATGAAAACGGACCACAGATCTGTGCGTTTCGGGTAGCTGGTCAGGACTTTGTCCAGCATGTTGCGGCCTCGCTCTGCGTCGCCGTAACGGAACTCCAGCTGAGCAAACTTAGCGATCACGTCCACACCTGAGAACGATGACAACGCAGAAATTAAAAACCACGAGGCGATGAGCAGCCAAGAGACAGAAATTCATAAACAAATATGTTGAGCAACAGAAGACGTTAACTTTATGAGCATGTTTCTATGTGACGACCCACACGTGTCACATTATTTCATGGTTACAGTGAAACAAGGTGATGCAGGTGCACAGCACTTTTAACCTTTGTTCTATGTTTGACAATTTTACTGTTTCGTTTGTCAAAAGTCAAGATTTCAGATCACACAGGGGTCCACAAGCCATAACTTGGGGGGTCCTAAAATTTCAATAAATTGTTAATAACCTCCGCCAAGGGAGGAGGTCATGTTTGCGGTCGCGTCTATCTGTGGACAAATTACTCAAAAACTTGTGGACGGATTGTCATGTAATTTTTACCACATGTGGGTATTGGCCAAAGGAACACACCATTAAATTTTGGTGGTGTTCCAGATCACGATGCGGATACAGGAATTTTTCTTTTAATTCGAGCGAATCAGCCTGGCTAGGCAAAGTGTTATTACGTCAGATGCATGCCTGTAGGAAACAGGAAGTACAAATTGCATCGCTGGGACTGCACCTCCCAGGATGTCTACTATCAGGAAAGTTGAGATTATTCGGTTATTAACTAGTTTTGGTGATGTTTACATGCTGTCTGGAGACGTAGAAAATGAAATGCGATAAACAGGACACCGAGGGTCCTGCTGCAGTCCAGCTGAAGCTGGTACCGGACAGCGGGAACAGTTGACCAAACCATGTGAGGTACCCCCTCCAACTAAGAACTTTATTGTGTGATTGGTCAGAAGTTTGTGGGAGTGTTTGTTTGTGCTGAAAGCGCTGAGACGCTGTATTTTGCTTCAACAACTCGCTTCAAAAAGGAATAAAAAAGGGCTTCCAGAACCGACTGTACCAGGAAGCAGCTTATAAAGATAGTCAAACCACTAAAAACTCATAAAATGTGATACTACAGAAGTTTTACACAGTGGACTCTGACTGAAAAAAACTTTGGAGCTTAATCTGGGACAAGTTTGTGGATGAATAACGTTGGGTGACAATCTCTGGCGTGTTTTTTTGCGACTCCACCGGGAAGAAATCCCGTGCATACTGCCTGCTTAAATGTTCACTATGAGAACTTATTCAGCAAATGTGTTTCCATCTTTTGCACATTAACTATTGCAGGATGGGGGAAACTGGCCTTGGCAGAGGTTTGCACTCTCCGAGTGCTTCTAGTTTATTTTTTATTTTAAAAAATGCAGACGGGGAACAATGCACTGGTAAAACAAATATATTAAACCAAACAAAACAACATTACCATGGCATTTAGGGGATAAAATGACAGCATGGGGTTTATAAGGAGGTCCCTGGAAAATGTTCACCCTTGTAAGGGGTCCCCAGAACCCCTAGTATGAGGAGTTAAACTGGCCATCTTACTTTCTTTAGAGGGCAGGTTCTTCAGCGCCCTCTGCAGGAGGCTGCTGGCAGCGTCGCTCTGACCCTGCTGGAGCAGGAAGGTCCCGTAACTCAACCACACTGCTTTGTCCTGACGGAAACGCTTCACCATCGTCTTGTACAGCCCCTCTGCCTCCTGAAAACAAAACCAGGACAAATGTAGACGTTAGCAGCTACAAAAATGTTTTTTTTTATTTCATGGTGTGTCAAAGAAAAGCTCAAGTATTAGCCAGTGAACCTTGATTTTGTTGGAGTTGGTGTAGATGTCTGCCAGCTGCTGGTACACCGGCATCGGCTCGCAGAACTGCACGGCTCGCTCAAAGACTTTCTTCAGACTTTCCTCTGTGCCGTACATGTTCTCCAGGTTCAGCAGGGCCACCCACACGTTCAGTTTCTCCTGCTCCTCCCTGGACCAACACAGAGATCGGGGTTTAACGGCACGTTCTAACGGAGCGCGAGGATTTCAAGCGGCGACCAACGAGCATTTAGAGATTTGACGCACCTGAAAGAGATGGTTTTGAGGGCCCGCTCGGCCACAGCTCGGGCCTGCTCGATCTGCGTGGCCTGCAGGTGATGAGCCATGTACTGCAGCCAGAGCAGGGAGCTGTTGGGAGAGGCTAGAAGCAGCCGCTCGAAGGTGGCGGCGTCCTGAGGCCGCAGGTTTGGATCCATCAGCTCGGTTTCCCGCTGCACCAGGGCTTTTTCTGCAGACTTCTTCTCCTGCTCCAGCTCATGGTGAGACTTCTTCTGGGGCTGGGGACAGACAGAAGACGAGAGGTGAGGCACATCCACAGTGATCTGGATACTTTAAACACATTTTAAGGGATAATACTGAATAACCTAACATGCAAATCACCTTAGTCTTTTCATCTTGCTCCTCTCCGTCGCTGGATTCCTCCTCTTGTTCATCTTTCACAGGCTTCAGAGAACTCAGCCCCACATCCCAGGAGAAACCTGCAGACACCTGCAGCCTGGATGGACCTGCTGAGCTGGCAGTCACCTGCACACAAACAGGAAAACTCATCATTCCAGCTGTGCAGAATAAATTTAGATTCAATTAAGGAAAGAAAAACAAACAGCTCCTGAGAGCTAGCTTACTTTTGCAGGTTTATTATCTTCATCCTCTTCCTCTCTGAAGTACACTTCCACTCCGCTGTCATTCCCGTCAGCTTTCTTCTTCTTCTTCTTCTTCTTTGGGATCGGAGGTTCTGCTTGCTCCTACAAAATAAAACGTATAAATTATTCATCAGACATCTTTGAAACGATCATTTATTACTGTCAAAGATTAAAACATTGTAAAAGAAAACCAATAAAAAAATATACAATGTAAAAAGAAAAAAAACATGCTTGAATCTGTTACCTGCACACTCTCTGCCTGAACACGCTTTCTGTTTGCTTTCGTCTCATTTTTGTCGAGACGCAGCGGGAGGTTGAGAGACTCTGGAAGAATGTCTGGCTTGCCGGTGTCCTCGTGGAGCAGAGACAGGTCCACTAACTCGTCCTCTCTGTCAACACTGAGCAGAAGATTAGATGTGATGATGTCTGAAGTCCAGGTCAAACTGTCCTCCTCACTGATACAGCACTCTGGATTAAACTGGTGCCTCTCTTATCACTGATAAACATTTAAAAATGTTTTTTGTTGACAATAACTTGCATGCCCAGCGTGTAACCAGAGCAAACTCAGACAAGGACGAAGCTTGAGATTTGTGAGAAGCATCTTGCAGGGCTCTAGAGTGAGACTAATTTGGTCACAGATGCGAATGGATTTTTTTTAAAGTGTGACGAAAAAAATACTTTGTTTGAGGAGGATGGGGAGCGGWTTCCCCTCCAAAACCAAAAGTTTCCACGACCCATAATAAATCAGTCTAGCAGCATCAACCCAGCGCTACACTCTTCTATCCTTCRCATYGACTTCCATTCATTTACCAGTCATTTCTAWAGCCTAGCCTAACCTCACCAGGCTGTGTGTACCAGGAAAATGGTCAAAATGTGTCCCCACTATGTAGCAAAAATATACAGAAGCATGTAGCAAAACAAGAGTTTTTTWAAGTAAATAAGTAAAGTTCATTTATATAGCACCTTTCATAGATATAAAATTACAAAGTTCTTTACAATAAAAGCAAGAAAAAAATAAAATAACATTAAAAGCATCATATTCAAACAAAAAGTAAAAGTAAACAGGTAGAGAGAAAACAAATATATCTAAAAGCCTGTTTGCAAAAGAAAGTCATCAGTAGAATCAATTTGTTAAGGACTAATTTATGAAACTCACTTCCTTTACATGAGCAATAGAGCTGAATATCATCAGCATAGAACTGAAATTGCACATTTCTGAATTGYTGGATTACCTGCCCGAGGGCAGAATATAGAAACAGAATAGGTCCCAAAACAGAACCCTGGGGGACACCTAACAAATTATTTGTGAGGTAATATTGCCCTAATGAATAGTGATTTAAAAAAAGTGAACCTGTAAAACTGTGATGTTAAATGCAACACATTTGAATGTGTTGTGTGCACCTAAGAAAAAAAGTTAGGCGCACGAGTGCAAAAATTTTAGTCTACAGCCCTGTTTTGGTGAATTCAACTCTCTGATTCTAAACAGTTCTGAAAGGTGGTGTTTTACCTGAGGATTTTAGCGGTGAGCAGCATGTTGACAGGCAGGTGCTTAGACAGATCCTTGTGGTTCTTGATGAAGTATTTAGAGACCTTTTGAAACTGAACCCGTCCGGTGATGCTTCTGGACAGCCTGGAAACAGAACAGAGWGTAAGAAACACGTCCAGCTGCATGTTGTTCCGTCTTCAGTCCACACGTGGTTGGATTGCTGTTACCTGATGAAGACCCCCTGCACCCCCACAGACTTCACGTAGCCTCGGATGAGCTGGCCAATCTCTAGTTGGTCTGTAGACAACACTTCGGGGTCCTTCCCTGGCTGGGCTTGTGCAGACAGCCTAAAGGAGTACGTTGTAACATCATGTTCTTTAAAACTCAATTAAATCAATAAAAATAAAACTTTTCTTACCTTGATGGGCGCACAGACAAGTCCCACTTTCCATTTTTACAATCTAAGAGGTAACACCTGAGGGGAGAAAAGAACAGAAGTGCTAGGCAGCTCATTTAACGTTATTTAAATTTTTTATCTCTTATTAGCTCTACATGTGCTGACCTGATGATCTGATCCTTGCTGTATGCCGCCAGTGGGTTTGGTTTGTAGGTGTCAAAAACGTCCGTGACACAAAGCGTTCCCGCGCCGCCGAAGGGAAGTTTGACATGAATGCCGATGTGCGGCTGAATATCTGTCACTATTCCTAAACTAGTGCCGCCTTTCTCTAGTTTTTGGATCCCTGGGACAGGAGAGGACAGCAGAGATCAAAGGTCACAGCTGTGATGATTTACTTCACTTGGAGCGAACAGCTACATAAATAACAAGAAAACAATCTCAACGGTTCTACCTGTGAGTGAGAGAATGAGGCGTTGAGGTCTGACTTCCACCACTTTAGCTCGAATTGCTTGACCCAGCTTGTACAGTTTCTCTGGGTGTTTAGCATCCTGAGGAAAAAATAAAGTATTTTATCTATTATGTGAATTCTGCATTACTTTTTTCCCTTTATATTTTTTTGCAATCTAGCTTTTTTTTTTTTGCATAATGGCTTGAGTTTGTCTTGTGCAACCTTTAAAACTTGGTGTGGTAATAACGATCTTAAGTTGAAATATATATATATAAGAGTCATCACTCGAAAAAATATCTTTATCCCTCTAATATATTATTTTGTAAACTGAAATTAATGAAATTCTATGATTTGATTGATTATATTTTGTTAGTTATGTATAAAGCACACCGAAATGCATTACCTTTAAATGTTCAGATAAATTTTACAAAGAGAGAGAGAGATGTTATAATCTAAAGGGAATAGAGATGTTCATGAAACCTAAATTCAGAACATGTTTGAAAGAACGATGCACCTCAATTCAAGGAGTGTGACTGTGGAATAATTTAGAAGACAATGTTACATCAATATGATAAAAACTGGACTGTTAAAAAATATGAAATTGTTTAATATGAAGACATCCACTTTGTTGTTCTAGAAAGTTTCAATGTTTTGTTTTGTTTTGTTAACTGAAGATCCTTATAGTTTGAATCTATATTTGAGGAAAAAACGGGCACATATAAGATTTTTTTCTTCTCTCTGCCACCTTTCATTTCATTTTATTTGTATTTTCTTTTTCATTGTACATAGAATTTTGTTTTATGAAATGAATAAAGTTTTTAACTTAAAAATAAAAAAAAAATTCCAGTAAAACTAAAGAAATGATCGTTGATCCAAGGGGATTGAGAACACATGATTATGTGACCTTTGTAGGACACTCTTAAATACCTGGGTATTATTAAGTGAAATACTCTGTGCTGGAATGGCCATGCTCATTATCTGTGCTCCAAACTAGCCTAATAACTGCATTTTTTGTGAAGACTTAGTCTGTTTGGTGTCTAATCAAAAATGATGCAGATCTTCTACGATGCTGCTCTTGGCAGTATAATTAGAAATGGCACAGGCCTTGGTTCAGCTCACTTATTGTGCAGTTCATAGTGAAAACCTCAATGACAATAATTGGGTTAAATTTTCAGCCTTTGCAGTCTGTCTTTGGCTCTGGCTCTGTAATTAAACAGGCAAAAAGGATCTTGCAGGACCCGTCTCATGTTCTGTTTGCAGATTATTAATTATTACYTTCGGGGAAATGCTACAGAGCTATTCGCTGCAAAGACAACCTTTTTAAATGATCCTTTCTCCCAACATCCATTTCTCTTCTTAATAAACCGTGATTACTATTGTAGGTGGGGGTAAGATTTAGTCCTGGTTTATTCTTATATACTGTTTAGTATATTGCTCTTTTAATACATTTTAATCGTTTTATTGCTGGTTTTATATAATAACATCAATGAAGTTGTGCTGTGTCTGGATGTGCAATACTTTTTATCTTAATTCACAGTTTTTAGTTTCAGATGCCATGTTTTAATTCAGCTGTCTTTATTTTTATTCGTTGATAACTGTCCTGTGACGTTTCTGGTCTAACGTGTTCGTATGTCTTGCAGTCGCTGTAATTTCACTGCAACAAATTTCCCTTGAGGACAATAAAGTATATCTTCTCTTACTTTTATTTATTTTTTTGCTACCTTTCTAATTTATGCTTCTCACTAGCCTTTAGCTACTTTTAGCTAGACTTTTACTTATTTAAGAAAGGCTTTTGATACTTTTAGCTTACTTTTTTTTTTAGCTTTTGGCTTGTGTTCTGCATCATTGAGTTTTAACAACTAATTTTTGGCTTTTTTTAAGTAATTTTCAGAAATCATTCAGCTTTTACTTTGTTTTTTTTTCAAGAAAAAGCCGTTTCTCTACTTGTCTTAAGCATTGGGCATGTTTACATTTAAAAATGATTTATTTTCCCCTGAGAACTCTTTAAGGGGCAGATATTATAAGATTTTTTTCTTCTCTCTGCCGCCTTTCATTTCATTTGTATTTTCTTTTTTTATTGTACATATAATTTTGTTTTATGGAATGAATAAAGTTTGAAACATTAACGCGACACTTTACACAGAAATGTGCTCCTCTTACAGTAGGATTCTTGATCATTGCCAGCAGTTCGACCGTCCCGTTGACAGACGGATCACAGGTGACCTCTAGACACTTAAAGTCAGAACGAAACTGGAAACAAAACATATCTAAATGTAAGGTGGTGGTTTTCTTCTTCACTTTTCTCTTTTCTCTATAAAAACAAGCTTACCTTTGATGCAAAGCAAGTAATTTCTTCGCCAACTTCATAGCTTCTCATTCCTTTATGTGCTGAAACTGGATTTAGATCTACGCTGCTGTCTAATTTGCTGCAGATCAAAGCAGAAACTCATTAGTAATGATATAAAACTACAAATTTATTATAATAGGTTATGATGAAAATCCTTTTTTAATGTAGAGCTGTGAAGCTACCTGGGTCTCAGTGTGAGCTCAGAAACTGTGTAGGTGAAATTAGGATGAGAGAAAGGCAGAAATCTGAAAACAGAAAGTTTAAATTTATTTAACATCACATAGATTCACTTTACCATTTTTTTAAATGTAAATTTCAATTTAAGCCAATAGAGAAGAGCTGTTTTACCCATTACTGGAGGTTTCTCGCCCTCCGATCACCCTGCAGGTGACCACGCTGCCTGGTTTCACAGAGGAGGTGGGGAAGGAGCCCACGTGCACGTCGGCGGGCTCCATCACCTCGGACACGTGCACGCTGCCTTTGCTTCCGTCCTCCAGCGTGATCTTAATGGACGTCGGCTTCACGGAGCGCACTTTGCCCTGCAGGATTTCACCGAAGCGGTGACCCTGAGACCCMGCCTGGTTTTCTGAAGGCGTGTGGCTTTGCTTTGGTGCTGCGCTGCCCGCCCAGGACACCAGGGGGAGGCCTTGCAGCTCCTCACAGGTGGGATCTATGACTTCAACCTGTAAAGTCTTCCCCACTGTCAGTTTGTCGGACTCGAACTCGATGTCGTTCATGTGGCTGCTGGTTTGGATGACAGTCAGCTGAGCTGTGCCACACAGTGAGATGACAGCAAAGTCTCCGTCTATGAACTGCACCTCAGCAATGTATTTACAGTCTTCTGTCAACTATGGAAAAAGCAAAAATGTTATCACAATAGTGGAAACAACCAAACAGTCTGGTTATAGTTATGTTTATTACTGGTTCACAAGGTAAGATAAGTAAGCAGATTTTTGGCCTGATTTAGCTTTTTGATGATTTTAAAGACGAGCTGATTATCATGGAGGCTCTGAAGATAATCTTAGGAGATATTCCTGCCGTGTGAGGTGCGTTAAGAGTGATCTAATTGACATCAGGACCACTCTGATCTCAAATCAGTAGGGGTGTAATGATTCGTTTTAACAACGATTTGATTCTTATCACGATTCACGGCTGCCRATATGATTCGAGGACGATCATGGTTCATTTAAAACGATTCGATTTGAAACGATTCAGTGACTTAAAGGATCCCTGTAAAGGACATCAGAGCTCTCTTTTCCACCTCCTCCATGTACAGGTTTGCAACAATAGGGAAAACTGGGGAGCCCATAGCACACCCATGTTTTTGCCTTTAGTATTGCCCCCATATGTGAAATAGGTCGATTCCAGGCACAGTTTCAGATGCAGAGCGGAGTAGTGCGGTTATCCTAACTGGGCTTTTCTGAAAGCAGACAAGAAACCCAAACAGGATTCCAGCCAACAACCAGCTGAAAATGAAGACCCTAAACCCAGACCCAAACCAGTCGTCATTCCATATGTGGCGGGAGTTTCAGAGAAACTGAGACATTTATTCTCTAAACACGTTAAAGACGTTCCAGTGGCTTTCAAACCCCAAAACACGTTGCAACAAAGATTAGTTCACCCCAAAGACCCAGTTCCCCAACAAAAACAGAGCAATATAGTATACGCTGTTAAGTGT